CTTTGCAAGCCGACTGGCTATCAACAAAGATTCGTTCACGAAGCCATCCATATATACGGACACAATTTCAACCTAGACGACGGTTTTAAACTCAGCAATCATTGGAAAGATGTCATCAACCACTTTGGGTCATGATTTGAATTTGTGTTTCCTTGTCAACCTCTACCATCAGCAGTCCCTCTTGTGGCAGGTGTATCACCATTCCTCCCCCCCATTGTCTGATGGGTGTACGAAGGTGCAATCCCTCCCTCCTCCCATCTCTACCCCACCCCCTCTCTCTCCCCCTGTCTAAATTCCCCCTCTCCCATCTCTACCCTTCCCCCCTATCTCTGCCCCACCCCCTCTCTCTCCCCCTGTCCCTCTCGCAGCAGGTGTATCCCCCCCCCCGCCATTGTCTGATGGGTGTAACGAGGTGCAATCCCTACCTCCTCCCATCTCTACCCCTATCTCTTCGCCCCTCCCCCCTATATGTGCCCCACCCCCTCTCTCTCCCCCTGTCTCTTGCGCAGCCCTTTTCCCCTGCCCACTCCCTCTGGAGCCCGTATAAGCAGCTACATCTGAGGTTTGCCCTCTTTTCTTTCCATCTGAAGAAGACCGCTTGTTTTGCGATCGAAACGTCGTAGCTTTTTTGCTTTTAATTTAGATTTTTTGTTTTCTATCTACGTGACTTTACCGAAAGAACCAAGAATATGTATGAAATTAAATCATACATGAGAGTCATTGGTGAATAATTATGTATGATTCTGACAGAATAAAGTAACTATGATAACATAAAAAAACATATGGTAACCTAGAACAATAAAAAAAATACATTTCTAAAGTCATTGATCGTAAACAATGTGGGTGGGTTTCAAGAATAACCAGCGAGCACGAATAAATGTTTTTGCATTTGCTTGCAGTTATCAGCCAGTTAAGATACCTCACAAAATGGACATCTGGTAAAAATTTTGACGTTCATTATTCATACATGTATTTCTCAGAACGATGTTGGGTCAGGCAAGGGGGTACTCGGTTGAAATAAAATTCAACAAGAGGTACAGTCGCCAAAATAGTTGAGACCAAATACGGGAGTGCGTGTGCATCTGTCATCCTCCTTTTCCCTCCTCCGTCCTCCTCAGGAACTCACTCTCCTGGTCGCAATACCTCATCCTAACCTTGCCCCAAGCAATGTTTGGACACTGAACTTTATTCCCTTGTCTAATTATCTGTTTTTTTATCTCTGGTGAATAATTTAAACAAATTATTTTCTGTAATCATCCCAAGGTAATTCTGTAGGCAAAGCACTGCTCACTGACGATGTCATGATGTATTCAAGGTTCCTGAATTGGTTTTAACCGCTACGTAAATTTGTGACCCACATAATGGACCTTTGTTAAAATAATTCTCATTAAATAAGGAGAAATGGTCCAACAGAGAGTGGTCATTGAAAATAAAAATCCATTTCTATCTTTGACCCCGATGATGAAGACAAGGGAATTCGGTGTTGTGAAATATTGATGCATTAATTATATTTAAGCACAGGCTACCGATGTTTTTCTTGTGGTCATTCTTCAACCTTGATATAATCTCATGCACAAGAGCTTTAATCTTTGCCGACCATGTTCTACTATTGTCCAATTTGGCTTGAGTCACAATTACATCCTATTCTTGAGTATTGCAATATGTTCAGGAGCTAAATTCCAATGATGAGATCTGCTGGCCATGAGAGGGCTTGAGTAGAGAGTTCGTGTACTTTTGCTATTCCTCTTTGCTATTCAAGGAGCGCAGACTACAGTGGTTTATTGTACAGTCCATAGTTTAGGTTGCATGGCCAGACACACGACTGTGTGAAGGAGATGTGCGCAGTGGCCTGTTGATGTTTTGATGTCGTTCATGGTCACACCAGTGTCTTCGAGGAATGTCAAAGCCAGGAGGTACGATGGTTGGGTTCCAAACTAGGTGTTCATTCTGGATGTCCACGTTGTTCCAATCTGTTCTCCAGCCTTCTGACAGATCTGGATGAGATTCCGGGATGGTGACAGCACGATCCCAGAACAACGTTCCTTACCACCGACTCGGGACCTGAGTTGGCAGTAAGGGACATTGTTGAGGTCAAGCTCTTTCTTGTAGCGGTATTGTGTCTGTAGATTCAAAGATGTGGGAAACCACGCACACGTGGGAAGGCAGCCAGAACCGGTGAAAAACAAATTCGAAGCCTTGTGGCCCTGAATTGTGACGTTTGGCCAACTCCGTCAATGCGTCATTATACACGTGGGAGGAAAACAGCCGCACCTGGAGAAAACTCCACACATGTGAGGGGGGGGGGCAACACTGTCCCCATACAGATGCAACTAGATGGATATTAGTCAACTTGCCATAATGCCATCTCCTGGCAAGCCAGGATATGGTGATCTCAAAACCTACGGGAAGGAAGTTTCATGAAATATGTGTGATCCACCAAACATTACCTCCCTGGTGCTGGGTAACAGGGGTGCACAAGCCACTGCCACCACCCGCAAACACAGATGTGTTTTTATTGTAGTCAGAAAGGCAAGGAAGGATGCGTTAATAATTACAGAATGGCGTAACTGTGGGTGATTTTCTAATCTGGAAAAGTGGGTTAAAGGCACCGGAGTGATAATGGCATCTTATTGAATGTAATGTCACGTCGTATAAGATAATAAAATAATTACATTTATTTATTGAAGAGATGGCTCATTGACAGCACATGAACTAACACTGCTCATCAGTCCTCTATATTTGTGGCATCCATGGTTACATAGATAAATATCCTTTATTTAAAACTAGGTTAGAGCCCATTGAAATAATTTAATGGAAGGTAAACCGGTCCTGCCCCCCTTCCCTTAACCAATCCATACTGAACGACATGGTGAAGTAGGGTAACCCCCCCCCCCCACCCATGACTGACACAGCATAGGGAGGCCGACATTCAGCAGTGGATTGACACAGCTGAAAATGATTACGAAGCCATTGATAATAGAAGAAGCATTGTTAAGGAATGCTTAGAATTAAATTAATGCATTTTAGAATAAAAACAAGATCAAATGTAACGTGAAACAAAATGCAAAGAAGTGTAAACAAAACAATTCAGCGTCCATGAAATATTGATGAATTAATCAAATAATGAAATAATAAAATGTTGACGATTATATATTTTACATGTAAACAAATTATATAAATTTAAGTTAATTAGTAATGACAATGTAAATAACGGCGATATAAAATCCTAAAACAATATTTATAAGGTAGAAATAAAAATGTGCTTTTATAATTATTAAATGAAGGAATATTAGAAACGTATTGTATTGTCTAAGTAGGGAATTCAGCGGCCTTTTAAAGGAATAGTTATTGAATGAAAGGCCGATGCAATATTTGTTCCAAATGTGGGAACCATTATAAAACAAATAAAAACACCCATATTCTGTCTTCATTTCAGCAAATTAACAGGAGAAATTAGAGGCATGCCATATGTTCAACGGGGTTTAATATGTTAAGTTTAGTAAACAGGGTATGAATAGATTTGCATGGCGGGATGCGTGCATGGAATTACAACTCGAGACAGGAACATCATTCACTACCATAATGAGCCAAGAATGTCAGTGTGTCCCTAGAGTGATGTTACTCCACGTCGGTCAGCCCCCCTAATTAATAATCATGAGCAGGTGATGTCACTCCGCATGTAGCACCCCCCCCCATTAATAATCATGAGCGGGTGACGTCACTCCACATCGCACAGCCCCCCTCATTAATAATCATAAATAGGTGACATCTTCCAAATGGACACCCCCCTCCCACCATTAATAATAATTAGCAGGTGACGTCACTCCACATGGGGGGGGCGAGGCGCCTCCTCACGTGAAACACACGTCAGACTTATTGCTCCCACAGGTTAAGGCGTAGCTTATTTTTTTGGTACAAGAAAGCTGCACCTACAGCGTCAACTTACAACCCTCACTACAAAGGCAGAACCCTCACGTCACACGATCTCTGTAACGCTATTGAGACATCGAAGTAAAAAGGACGTCATGATGAACAAGAGATTATAACCTTTAAATTAAATAGGTCTGTGTCACCACGGCCTTACAAATTGCACACGAATTAATGCAATGAATATTACATCGCGCTCTGCTTTTCGCTTGCAAATTTCAGATTTACTGCAATACACCCGTCATCCTTGGACGGGCAAAAGGCGAGTGATTAGAGAATGTTCTCCAATTGATGACATCGTACAAACTGTTAAGAAAAGAACGCGGGATTCGGCAGGACACATCGCGACCACAGATGAAGTACAATGGTTCAAGAATAATCGTGGAGTGACAGCCAAGGAATGGAACATGTCCAGGAGGATGTAAATCAGGGGGAGAGAGAGCGATGAAATCAGCTCGTGTGCAGGTGCTGGGTGGATTGTCACATCCACTCATGCTGCAAAACTCTTGCAGGCACCGAAGCGGACATTATTTTGAGCGTGTCACATGACAACAAACATTGTAAATGGACACACTACACGAATTAATATCAGAGTTTTTGTGAAATCATTACCCTAATAGACCAGGGGTTGGCAAATGCGGCTCCGGAGCCACATGTGTTTCTTTTCAGGACCGCTTCGTGCCATTATTTATTAAGGACCGTCTTGTATGCACGTGCATCGCGGCTCTTGAAATATTGAGTGTTTTACCGAATAAAAAAAAAAGGTTATTTTGGTTGCCGACCCCTGTAATAAACTACATACAATGAAAGTTATTTTTGTAGTGTTATTAGTATTATGAGCATTTTATAGTAATTAGGATCTGTATTGAAGCTAATATAGTATTTTCCACATCCATTTCTGTTTAAATGCATATGGGGCCCATTGAGCTTACTGGGGCCCTAAGATTTCGCCTATGCCTCGCTCCAGCCACTGATTATAACAGAGGATCGCGAGAGATGGCAGTGTCACGCGGAGGACCTTCAACCACCAGCTCATGATACTGATAATGTTGAAATAAGGTACGCTTGGTTACCTGTGCCCCATCTCATGAGCCACGGTGAAGGCCAGAGGGAGACCTGTGTCCTCGTTGATGTTGCAGCTGCGGTGTGGCTGGCACATGCCCGACACGTGGGACAGTCCCAGGGTCTCGCACGGCCGATTCATCCCAACGCACAGGTCCTTTCTGCAGCAGCAGCAGCGTCGTTCATTCGTTCATCATTAGTTGTTCATTAGTTTCCCACATGGAACAACACCCATTTCTTGTGAGAGTCAAGGATGTAAAAATATATTATTGTCATCTCAACTATGCTCTACAAATGCGTCTGCAGGTTAAATCGATATAATTGGGACCGTTGCTTTAACAAAAAAAAACATAATATACCAGGCATGTGGCCGGTATGATTTTTGACACAAAAGGATAAAAACTTTTGTCTTCCACTTCATCAAGCTGTGCACCAATCGTGCTGTAGCAAATCAATGTAGTCATGCAATTTGTCTTAGATTATGTGAAAAAAGAACATTATCCTAAAAGAATAATTGCTGAAATGTACTATTACCAAAAGTTCCGAGAGATAAAAAGTTAAACTAAGTAAAGAGTTTAATCCCATTGGGGGTTTTCTTTTTTGGCCAATGTCAAGCGCCGAGAGGTTATGCGGAGCATGCGTTTTGAATACCGAGTCACAAGCACTGCGATGTCGTGCCGAGTTGCGTTGGACTCTTCCTCCCTGGAGTTGAGGCTCTTCTGCCAATTACAGAAGCTGGCCAGAGTCTTGTCAGCATGGTGCACGATCTTTAAACCTTCCTGCGGGAAGGAACAGTGTTGCACGCAAATGTGATCGCTGGAAGATATCACAAAAACACAAGAACGTGAATGAACCGCATCGCCCAGGTTTGCAGCTGCTTCATCATGCTGCTGTTGCGGTGAAAAGCTTGAGATTGAGTGCCCACAAACGTCGCTCGAATCTATGCGTCAACATAAATGGACATGTAAAAGCTTACCATTGTTTCTTTGTTTTGAAAATGGGCCATTCCTTAAAAGGTTATGCATTAACAGAACTCCATTCTGTGTTTTCTCCATGAATAAAAGTATGTTTTGTATATCAGCCTATTGATTTACTTTCCAGACCAATGTCAATGAGTGCTTGTTTAAGCCATCAAATATTGTACAATTTCAACCCTCTGAGTCTCATTAGCAGTCAGACTTTAATACATTTTTGCTGGATTATCATATGTTCTTGGCAAGAGTATTCCAAATGTTGAATTTTTTTGTTGACCTTTTCAGAAATAAAGCAGTGTTAGTTAATAAATGTATTATTTTGCCTGTGCTTCTCTACAGCCATGGCCGTGCACTTCTACACATTTGTTTTATTCTTTCCATTTACATTTTCCCAGTCGTGACTAATCCTTTGTCAGCTTCAATTAAATAAAAATAAAATTATCAGCAGTTGCAGAAAAGTGTGCTCAGATGACGGTGAAATTAGAATCCTTATTTTAACTTACTTGGTCTTCTTCCAAAATGATAAGTCGGACTAGAACAATGTTTATTGGGTTCCCAATGCTCGCATCGTGATATAATCCAGACACCTGCAAGCATGAAACAGCGACAACAAAAAAGATTCGTGAGAATAAATTGTCATGCAACGATGAACACACTATTTGATGACACTGCATCAGCAGTGGTGCTCAAGCACAATTTTTTATAGGTAGGAACAATATGTTCCACACTGCCCACCAGGGATAATTTGTCTGTCTGTCGTGCATAAATATATATATAATATAAACAGCTCTTTGATTGGTGGAGACCTACTGCCAAGTACGGAGAGGGGAGGTGCCTAAGGGAGGAGGGTCAGAGGAGGGGTCTAAGGGAGGGGGATCAGCGGAGGGGCCTAAGGGAAGGGGGGTCAGGGGAGGGGCCTAAGGATATGGGGGGGGGGGGGTGGTCAGGGGAGGGGCCTAAGGGAGGGGGGTCAGCGGAGGGGCCTGAGGGAGGGGGGGGGGGTAAGGGGAGGAGCCTAAGGGAGGGGGGGGGGTAAGGGGAGGAGCCTAAGGGAGGGGGGGTAAGGGGAGGGGCCTACGCAAGGGGGAGGGGCCGATAGTTAAGGGGGCTGGCTACCTGGCTGGCTGCCTGGCTACCTCAAGTCAAGCTATCTTTTATACAGGTAGGAACAACAGTTCCCCACTGCCCACTAGGGATTATTTGTCTGTCTGTCGTGCACGAATGCGCTGTCCAACCAAGTTCCTACCTGCCCACTCCGAAGGAACGTGTTTTAAAAAATCTACTCATTCGTCAATATTATTATTCCCATTTAAGGTTACAGTGTTAAATGTGTTGAGATTAATGATAAACAATTGGTCATTATACTGGCTTAATAAAGTCTAAATTTACCGAATGTTTTCATCAATACTGGCACAAGCACAATAAACGCAGCTGAGTTAAACAATGAGCCACACATTCACATTTTGTGTCTTTTCTCAGATTACTAAAAACAGTCAACATCTATTAATCTACACTGACAGGGCTATGAAAAGGTCAGGTATTCCACACCTGTAAATTATTTGCAACAGTAATAAGGCAAGAACAGACTATTTGTACATCACTTCTGTACTCGATGGTAATCAGACGCTTCAGTCTTAAGATTACAAACGATTCTTGCTCAATGGTTTATTAATGGCCTCATCCTCCTTACGCACCCGGTAACCTTGTTTTCCACTGTACCATGTTTATGATGGAAAAGATGTAATTTTCTATGTTGTCCCTTCCATGGTACTGCACCATCTTGGGATCCACCACCACCAATGTCTCCACCCAGCGCTCCGTGCTTGTGGACCTCGGGGCGATTCTCCGATGAGGCCCGTGCCTCCGCTGCCACCTCTCCCGCTGCCTTTCCACATTCTGCGCGTGCCATGGGGCATCTGAAATGCACGCGTTCGCCAACCTCTGAATCTATAACCAAATGGGCACGGTTGTCGCTGAGCCTTGTACCGGACCTTACAGAGCTCCTCGTTCTCAAGCCTTACCCGTCACGCCACACGACGCTCCCTTTGTTGAGGTGGAATTTCCAGGAATCGCCGCGCCTGAAGGTGAAGGGTGCACGAGGGCATGACGTTTGGAGATGACGTGATGGCCACTTGCCGGGTCATGCTTGTAGACTACGTGTGGTTGTGGAGATCCCTCTGTTCTGACGACACCACGGACTGGTTCTATAAAGTAGTGCTCTCCATGGGAGAAAGAAAGAACCCCAGTCTGGAGAGGGCAAATATTTGAAGATGAGAAAAGTATTTTTAGATTGTATTCTTCTTCTTCATTTTCTGTGAGTTGTATGCGAGATAGTGGAATGTTTATACAACTTTTACGAATCGGTTAAAGTCGAGTCTTTCACTTGCGATACATTAAATCATGCGTGAGAATCTATTACTTCGAATTTAGGCAAATTATATAAAAGAAGTTTGTCAATGTTGCATTTGGCTCATGGAGCAAACAGACCTGTAAAAACAGGACAGAAATAAAGATGATAGACGCGAGACCAAAAACAAAGTGATTCTTGAAATGAATCGCGACCCCAAATTTTGACAATTCATGGAATCGATTTTGGTGGGGGAGGCAAGAGTGGAGGGAGGGGGGTTGGCAGGTAGGTAGGTGAAGGGATAAACCATTACATGCCTAATTTCCCACGCAATGTCTTGGTTTACGTTCATCAAGTCAACTTCACATTGGGCCAAGCGGTGGCTTTTCATATTTAGGGGTGAAATAAAAACAACAAAACAGGTTGTGTCGAGAAGCATACCAAACTATTACATGTGCTGACAGCAACAGCTCCTCGGACAGCCGCTCCCTCCAGGATGTCTCCAGTGTGGTGGCACGTGTTTCTGGAGCCCTCTCGGTGGGTCTTACCCTGCTGTCGCTCCAGCACGTACCCGGCCGACAACAGGCCACTGTTGAGTGTCACGTTCAAGTGTAGCTGTCTGCCATCGTGCTCGAATACGTAGTGCAACAGGGCGTCCGCTGGCACCTGCCACCGACCAGGTTGATGGAGGGGCTCGTGGTAAAGCAGGTCGTGCGACAAGAAGCGCGACGAAGCGTCGACTCGCGCGGGGTACACCACTTGGAAGTCTTGTAGACTTCTTAAGAAACTTTCTGGCAGTATCACACACAACAACAATAAGATCGACAACAACAGCAATGTAACACACACACACGCGTGTGCCTGAAGTCAAGAGCCTGTCGCCGTGGTTGATATTGCAGCAGGCGATGATAAAAAAAGGTTACTTATTTGCAGACATTAGTCTTTCTCCCAGCTGACAACCACCGAAGTGCCTCTCTCTTGCTTGCTTTTGCTCATTCTCGTGACTTCGTTTGGAATGTAGTCACTCAGCAGTCACAACTTGACCTATTTATACACAACGGAACATTTATTTTCTCGCTTCCTACACTGTTATGCAAGTTTCATTTTGTAATCCGTCCAAGTTTTGCTGCTGTGGCTGCCGTAAGGAATATTTCGTGACGTTCATTCCTTTAATGGCACCAAACAAAAAAAACAAGCACTTCCCCCGGCAAACAAACAAGAAATGCGCACGGCAGTCAGCAATGCATTTCAATGAACTCGAATGTATACAATATATGTTTTTGGTACGCAAACACATCTTATAAATGCATCGCTTTTAAGAGAGCACTTTAGCGACGACACACCTTGGCGTTGGTCTGGGAATGTAAATTCTCCGAGCGCCGCGCACCACGTGAGGAGGCAAATCAGCAACAGCAGCGGTGGCAGCAGCGGTGGCCGCGCGCGCACACAGCTGTGCCCCTTGGGCTCGTGGCACCCCCAGCTCCCCTGCATGGCACGCGGCGGCAGCGGAAACTTGCAGGACACCCCCTGACACCGTCAGGCCAACGTGGCAGGGACTGCCCCTTCGCCCCATGTACGAGGTTCACGCAGGGAAGGACGGCGGAGAGGTTGGTGGGTGGTGGGGGTTAAAGCTGCCTGCAAGAAAACAAAAATCCAATAACGACACAAAGAAGGGAAGCAAGAGGTCCGCGTTTGTCAGTGGTCCTTTCCCATGGCGGGGAGTACAGTTGAGTTGGTGCGAGTTTACACACGCGCTGGTTGTGCTGCTTTAGCAGGAGGGAGGAGGCGTGCTCGTACGAGTGGGGTTGGGGTGCAAGCTAGTTGGGAGGGGAGTTTGGATTTATGTCCAGGGTTCCTCTTGCATTGGGGCCCCCAGTGGGATGGATTCATGTTTCAGTCCAGAGCATATGTGAGTCCCCCCCCCCCACGCCTCCTCCAGCCACACTCCCCTTTCGTTCCCCTTCTCTCACCCACCCACTCACCCGCCAACCCACCCATGACTTTTCCAAGTGGAATCCATGTGCTGCAGCAACAGCAGCGACAGTGGTGTGCCATGGCGCAATGAGTTCACTGTGTGGTTGAAGTGCGAAAGTGCATATGGTCGCACTGATTGCTCAAGGGCGAGTCTAGTATTCGAACAACGCGACAAAGTCACTTACGCTTCACCTCAAAGCTGCAATCATAATAAGAGAAGTAAAGTTTAATAATTAAAGAGACAGAAACGCTGAGATGAAGCGAATGCGAGTGAAGCAGTGAATTGGTATTCGTCCGCAAGAGAATATTGATGAAAACCAGATGTAATCAGTGTCTTTAAATCTTTTCGTTGTACAAAACCATGAATTTCCATTCACAAAAAAATACTTTTAGTGCCTCATTTGCCGAGTTATTTATGCTCTTTTATTTAACGTTATGATTGTCATGAGAGAGGGCATGAGAGAGCAGGCCGAATGTGATGATTTCGTTCGCCATCTCAAAAATTGTGAATAAATTCAGGAAATTTTTCTCTGCCAGGTGAATATAATTTTGTTGGAATAACAGCAATAAACATACGTAAGTATGCATACATATATATCAAACGTTATTTATTTATCATTTAGCTGAGAGCAATTTACACGTTTGGGGTTTGGACATAGACTGGCACAAGATAAATTGTCACCGGTCGCGACCAGAAATTGTCTTGGATTTTCGTGATAATGTACGCATTATAAATCGTTTAATTATTAAGTGGTGTTTAGAGTATACTGGAAGGAAGTGGAAACTACGTGTAAATGCAAGGTCACAAGTGATATTGCATCAATACGCAACTGACAGAGAAATATGAAAAAAATGTAGAAAAGTAATATGAGCGAAGAGTGTTCCGTTCAAGATAGAGATGAGAAAGATGAATTGTATTATATGTAATGATCTCAAAATGCTTATTAGGATTACACCTTTCCATGATAATTCATGAACCTCTATTTTTTCATGAATCCACGGCCTCTTGAATTGCCTGGGGACCCAAGCATTTTGTTGGTTTGCTTTTTCAGAGCACTTCCATTGGTGGAGAACGCAGCCTGGATGTAGGCTATGGCCCTGTTCTATTACAGGCCATTCCTGGGCCTTAGGCTGTTAGGCTGTTCCTGGGTCATTCCTGAGTCAAAAGAGCCTATTTGTGAGTGGGCCACGTATGTATGTTGAACGTATTTTGCACCGTACGTAGCAAACCATGCTACAAACTAAACACAAATAAGTTAGTTTTCAATCTAGATTTAAAAGTGCATAACTCCAGTGGCTTCCTAATATCGGAAGGGAGAGCGTTCCAGGCGGCAGCAGAAGCACATCATGAAACCAAGGCACACAGGCTACCCAGGATACAAGGATCAGGTTGCGTTTCGGGGATTTCACACCGTGTCTTTGCTGATGCAGAATACATGCCAATGGTGTTCTGGAAAAAGAAAAAAAAATCAGGTCATGCAATTTGTTTTGAGGAGCAATAAAACTGCCATTATCGGTGCCTCGTGCGTTATTCATGTAGGAGTATGGTCAGAATTACGCTTGTGTCTAGGAAAAACCAAGAAAATTGTAACTCTTGCGAAATGCAATATACATTCATGACTTTACCAGCAGCTTGTGCCTTGCAATATTTTATTTTCATATCGTTGAAGGAATAATGATGATTGAAACCTTTTTTCTGGATTTGATGTCCAACCGAAGAGTTGACAAAGAACAGACATTGTGTTGCATCTTGGGTCTCTCAGTCAGCACTGAGCGCATCTCAGCCGTGCATGCAGCACTGCATGCACGTGTCATTTTAAAATCTTTGCACCGAAAGAGCACCCTCTGCTGGGCAGACCATCTTTCATGTTTGCCCGAAATCTGTACTTGATCGTAAACACTCAGGGCAGGACACAACTAACTCAAGCGCAGGGACTGCGCTGAGACAATCAAGCTTACTGTGATTGAATACTGGGTTGTAAATAATGCATCAAGTCATGGAAAAAAATGGGTTCTTCTGCAGTTTGCATGACCAGCCAGCACTGGACGGTCGTTACTTTTAAACAAATTCATGCATCTGAATACAAACTTCAGTTTGGTTGGATAAAACCAAGTGCTGCCAGGAAGACACAACATTTTTTATTTAATTTACAAGTTGGTAGATTTTTTGTTGTGGTTTTGCGGTATAGCTCTGCGATGGCTTGTCAGGTTGTACCATGAACAGGCAGTTTGGTGGTTACACCAAACTGCCTGTTTGGTGGTTACACCAAACCGGGTTGTACCGCCTGTTCTTCACGGTTCAACTCCCGACAACCCATTTTTACCTCGAGGGGGGGGGGGGGGGCACGTGATTATTTTCAAGGCGCTGCTGCCAGTGTGTGGAACATGAAAACTTCTCAACCATCTGCGTTCAAAGTGGTCTACGATGCTTTAATCACTGCAATGAATGTGCCAGGCGAGTATTATGTGCCAAACGTCAACAAAGTTACCCAAATGGATGGTGACGTGGCTTGTTGCAGAGGTTCGCGGTTAAAACCTAGCAGGCCGCCTGGCGGATTTGTTAAACCATAAAATTCGCGCCATGCTTCACGGTAGCCACTCAAGATCCTGTGACATTATTAAAAGAAGCGGGCCATTGCGTATTGGGGTCAGGGTTCAAATAGTGTAGAATAATAACTTGAAAATGACTTAATTGGGAACTGCGTAGCCATTGTCATCCCCTAATAAGAAAGCTTAACTGAAAAAAAGTTGAGACTTTTCTGGTCAAACAAGCGCAATAATGGTTATTACGTGAAGTAGATGGATACAAAATCGGTTGTAATTGCTACTTACTAATACCAGAATATAAGGGCCTTTACTTGAGAGGGCTCTAGAGAGCCCCTCGAGACGGTATGTGGTCGACTCTTCTCTGCTCCAAACATCTTGGGGTGGGAGTACCCACACTTCCCACACCACACATCCGACCTGCTGATCAACTGTGGAATACCAACCTGTACCGCTTGGTGAACAGAGGTGGTGGAGATTTAAGAAACATGCACAGTTGTTTTAACTTGCCCTGGTCGGAGATTGAACCAGCGACCTTTGGATTGCAAGTTCAGTTTGTTAACCTTTACACCTCGGCAGTATCCATATCTTAATGTATTGCCACTAAAACGCAGTCGTTTATGTGAGGTGGCGTTGTGGAATTTCACAGGGTACAAGATGTCGAATTTTGTATACAGTATACGTATTTATAGTATAAACCTAACTCAACTGCAGATTGCGCCTTTTCATTCACTCGATGAATTGAAGACAGATTGTCATCATTGTAAATTCTTTCGGGAAATGCCTTGTAATGACCAATTTAGCATCTGGTATTATTGATTTCTGCAATAAATAAACACTGCAGACAACAGGCTGAATACACGGCATTCCTTCCTGGTCTGACCTTGCAATAAAAACATTTAAGGGATTTCCACTCCATTAGGCATTAAGATGGTGCTTGTCTCCTGTTCGCAGGCCTGAGCCTCTGGTGGAAACCCGGCATTCCTAATGCTTCTAGATTTGAAGCTTTCGTGACTGCAAGGATTCATACTCTTAGGTTTTTTTTGGTAAAGTCACGTAGGTAAAAATTAAAAATAAAAATAAATAATTAAAATAATAAAAATAAAATAATAAATCACGACGTTTCGGACGCAACACAAGCGTCCGTCATCAGGTGGGACAACCACAGCATTTGTTTCTTGCTGATTTTTATTATTTTATTTTTACCTACGTGACTTTACCGAAAAAACCCAAGATTATTCCTAATGCTGTGGGCGAGGCTATCCATAGCCACACCACTGTTGACTTCCTCACAAAGTCCCTTCCAATTTCGATCCGTGCGCTCTCCCGCTGCGCCACCAAATCGGATGTAACCTTCCCTTTAAAAATCATCCAATCAGGATCAAAAGGGCAATACAGTATTATCCCAGTTTAGGTCGGGCATGCGTTTCTGAAAGGTGCAACGAATTTCGAAACGACGTGAATCAAAGCAATTTGCAGGGCTAGGTGGAGGCGAAGTCTGAGGGGCGACGGATACGGGAAATGGACGGATGATGCTGTCAATGACGAAAGTGTGGCTTGAGACGACGCATATCAGGTAGGGGTGCTAGTAAAGTGACGACGTATTCGATGTAAAAGGGGGAGGCGTGAATCGGGGAATTACTTTATTTAAAAAAACCATACAGTGCTTGAAAAAAAATGTAATGTATGAATATAAATACTGTGCCTTCATTACGTCAAATATAAAATGGAATAATTATTTTGAGGTCAAACTGACCAGCACAAATAATATATGGAGCCACTGCATAATTGCTTTGATGATAATGGTGTTGAGTCTGTCAGAGGTTACCCAAGGGACACTGAAAACTGCAGTGAAACAATTTGCTGACTTTCAGTACACACAGAGTCCGTTGTTTCCACAATCTTGACCTATCTCAACGTGTAGGTTTTTACGGCTGAGATTATGATTAAAATATTAAAATGCGTAATGCCCGATTGATTCACGATATTATGAATACATCTGTATCGATATTTGTTGCATTTACACTGTCTCAAACAAATATATACGGTGACACTCCTAGGCTGATAATTCCAAACATGCGTTGCTTTAAAATTCTTGATACTGAAAGGTACATGCCAGACAATGTTTTTTTTTGTTCAATTAATACACGCAAAGCACAAAGCATATTAATATTACATCTGGAGGCTGGGTAGCTCAAAGGTTGAAGCAATGAGCCCACTAAGATCCTGTGTTCACATCCAGGCAGCGAGCCGATATTTCAACCTGGTTCTTT